CCTCAGTTCCCTCATCTGTAAAAAAACTATAAGATTATAACCTTATGGGATTCTTGTTAAGAATAAAAGAGATGGGGTACCTGGGTGGCTCAGTTGGTTGAGTGTCTGCCTTCGAATCAGGTCATGATCCCAAGGTCCTGGGATCCAGCCCCGCGTCGGGCTCCCTACTCAGCAGAGAGCCTACTTCTCCCTATCCCTCTGCCTGCCACTCCCTCTGCTTGTGCTCTCTCTCTCTGTCAAATAAATAAATAAAATCTTAAAAAAGAGTGAAAGAGATAAAGTAGACAAAGCTTAGAACTGTGTCTGTCAAGTAAACACAACAAACATTAGCTATTATATTATTAATAACAATCCTCATACAAGCCAGGCAAGGTTGGTATTTGACACCAGTTTCACAAACAAGGAAACCAGTTCAGAAAGACTAAATGACTTGGCTAGAGTTAAAATAGCATGGAGGACAAGGGGAGTTAGAGAAGAGAAGGGAGTTGAGGGAAATTGGAAGGGGAGGTGAACCATGAGAGACTATGGACTCTGAAAACCAATCTGAGGGTTTTGAAGGGGCAGGGGGCGGGAGGTTGGGGGAACCAGGTGGTGGGTATTGGAGAGGGCACGGATTGCATGGAGCACTGGGTGTGGTGCAAAAACAATGAATACTGTTACGCTGAAAATAAATTTTAAAAAAATGAAAAAAAAAAAAAACTAAAAAGATGAAATTCAAACGCTGTTTTTCTTGCCACGAGCCCTATAAACTCTTCACTTGTTCTCATTACAACTATTTTACATAAAGTATCTAAAGGTAGTAGAAAACAACTTGCTTTTAATTGGGTGTATCATATGCTTGACAAGTAAGTGTTCAATAATTACAACGCAAATTGGCTGACTGGCTGGCTCCCTGAACATAAGCCTGTGATTCTAAGAAAGGTGATTCTCTTGCTGCCGCCCACCAGGCCAGATTTATTCTTGACTGTGGTTTTTCTCACCCTGCCCTCCTCGTTTGCATGATCCTATTCTTTCTTCCCCTCTTCTTTCCTCCAACTGTTTCTTCCAATCCTGCACATCCATCAAGGGCCTCTACAAGATTTTGCCTCAGTATTTCCCTCAACTTTATGAGTGTCACGAGATATGTAAACCATTGGCACTATTATTTATTTAGTGCTTTCTTTCAACTGATGCACTTTTTATTCTTAAATTTGCTTGAAAAGAAAACCATCATAAATGAAAAACTGTTTCAGTAGGCATCAACAGGAGCTATAAAATCACTGATATAAACAAAATATAATTAAATTATAGCTAGATTTTGTTGCTTGCCAAAGGCTTTTAGTTTGAGGCTTGCTCATTCTTGTTTAAAAAATAAATCAAGATAAGCAAATTAGATATTAATGACACATTTGTTTTAGATTGTGATTTTGAAAGTTCTTCATTGAAATAACCAAATAAACTGAACGAAGGCTGAAAAACAAATAACGTTCTCGCTGAATGTTTCAATCAGCTTTCCAGTTCTGCCATATGGAACCTCTCATACAATGCTATGCACCTCAGCCTTTGGGAAACAGTCATTTACCAGATCGTTCCGCCTCATTATTTCTTTTGTGAATTGCACCATTTACCATGCCACTTATTTGGGAACTTGTCAGAACATTTCTTATGTGATATTTAATTCATTTGTATCATTTCATGTGGACAGATACAAGAGGAATTATCAGGATAACACAGTCTTAGTCACACACAAGTCACAGTTTAGCCAAACCAGAAATATACGTTGACCCTTGACCAACATGGGTGTTAGTGGCGCTGACCCCCTGAATAGTAGAAAATACACATAGAAGTTTTGACTTCCCAAAAAGTTAATTATTATTGGCTTTCTGTTGACCTTACCAGTAACATAAACAGTCAAATAACATGTTTCTGTGTCATATGCATCACATACTGTATCCTGACAATAAAGTAAGCTAGAGAAGAGAAAATGTTATTAAGGAAATCATAAGGAAGAGAAAATACATTTATAGTACAGTAATATATAAAAAAAAATCCATGTTTAAGTGGGAGCACACAGTTCAAACCTATGCTGTTGAGGGTCAGCCAACTCTTAGACAATTATAATGAGTCAACCAATGTGTTATACATGTGAATGATAAGGAAAACCTGAGGGATGCCTGGGTGGCTCAGTCAGTTAAGTGTCTGCTTTCAGCTCGGGTCGTGATCCTGGAGTCCTGGGATCAAGTCCAGTGTCGGACTCCTTGCTCAATGGGAAGCCTGCTTCTTTTTCTGCCTGCTGCTCCCCCTGCTTGTGCAGCTCTCTGACAGATAAATAAAGTCTTAAAAAAAAAAAAAAAAGAAAGATTGAATTTTCATAGGAAATTATTTTTAGGCAAATCAATAAAGAATTATATATGGAATATATATGGAATGGCCATATATGTATTCTTTCTCCTTGCCTGTTAATGATATTTTCTATAGATAACTCTACACAGTCATATATGCATTTATAGCTAGAAACACAATATCCTTTGTAAGATCTTTTAAGTAAATCCTATTATCAAAATTACTTATCGTATTGCTGTTTAAACTTTCTGTTTTAAAAGTTAATTGAGTAAAGTTTAGCTTTGGATTAATGTGGATAAAAGTTTAGACATTTTGAAGTTCATTTGCATTTCATAAGACTTCCATATCACATTTTAAATCAAACTCGACTCACAGATTTTAAGTCACCAACCACTGATAAATATTTTAAGTGTGTCTTCCAAATTCAGCATTATATCATTTTCAAAAGTATTTTAATTAGTTATCAAAATAGAAATCAATTACATAGGCTTTCTATGCAGAGTGGTTTATTGGATAGAAAATCTGTCTTTTTTAGAAGAAGAGGATGGACATTAAAATGACCAGACCAGACCTGATTTATAGTCATTGTCCCCATCTTGAGAAAGTAGTTTCACTTTTCTCAGCTAATATTTGTAGATCTGCAGAATGGAATGATGTCTCCTTTGCAGACACCAGCAAATAATATATGGAACTGATCCTAAGAGTTTCCTTTAAAAATGGTAGCTATCATTATCTAACTAGCAAATTTTAAATAAATCATTCCTTTTTTTTCCTTAAAAATTGAATTCAGGTAAGCAGAATTTGTCTTCTTTATTATTATTTTTGTTTTCTATTCTCACTCATTCATCCCACATTTTTACTAAAGACCTGGTGGTAGGTACTAGAATCGTGGCTCTGAATAAAACAAGTAATATCTGTCCTCATGGATTTACATTCCACTGACAACAAACACATTTAAAAAAATTAAATGTCACTGACAACAAACACATTTTAGAAAAATTAAATAATTGTCACTGTAATAATAAAACATTGTTGAGCAAATGAAGCCACATGGTAGAGTAGTTTGAAGAGAAATAAGGAGATGACTTTAGGTGAGAGGGTTAGAGAAGACCTCTTTAAGTGGTGACGTCTGAACAGAGTTACAAAAGATAGAAGGAAGCCAGCGTGTAGCCTGAGAGAACACCAAGGCATAGGGAAGAGCCAGCAGAGAAGCCTGAGGCAAGAAGAGCCCCATAAAGTTATCTACCAAACAAGGTGAAATGGGGCTGAATGGTTGGAAATGAATTGAGTAAGGCAGAGGCCATGTCATGTAGAGACTTACCAACCGTAGTAAGAGGTATAGGGAGCCATTAGGGCAGTGAAGTTTAAATTTAAATAGATTTTTCCAGGTGGCCATTGCAGGGAGAGGGGTGGGTGTTAGATGAACAATTACCAATTAAATAGTATATCTGGAATATATTTTGAAGCTAGAGCCCATGGGGTGAAAAAATAGGAACATCAAGAAAGGCCCCTGTTCTTTGGCTTGTGCAGCTGGAGACAATGGTACCACACATTGAACCAAAAAAACATGGGAAAAAACAGATTTAAGGATACCAGTCAGAAGTTCTGTTTTAAGCATGTTTAATTTCAGATGCCGACAGGCAGTCAAGTGAACTTGACAGTCAAGTGAACAGACAAGGGAGGCATGGATTCTTTTCTTTTCTTTCTTTCTTTCTTTCTTTCTTTTTTTTTTTTTTTCTTTTCTTGAGAGGGAGAGAGAGAGCAGGGGCAAAGGGGAAGAGGGAGATAGAGAATCTTAAGCAGCATGGAGCCCAACCCAGGGCTCGATCTCACTACTCTGAGATCATGATCTGAGCTGAAATCAAGAGTCAGATGCTTAACCCTAACTGAACCACCCAGGTGCACCAGCAAATGGATATTTTAAATGATCATTAATGGGATTCTCTTTGTTTTAAAATCATTTTCTGTATTTTTCACATGACAGATTTTGTTCATGGTGCATTTTTGCAAAGTTGTTAAAGTGATCTTTTCATTATAATTTTCTCAAGTAATTTTATGGTAGAAAGGTCATCTGAACTATATTTACTTTTCCCTAAGTTTGAGAGGTATCTGTCTGAACCTTCCTGAAACTTCCTCAAGTCAAGAGATATGTCATATCTTAGTGAGAATATGACACACGGCAGTGTCACTCATGAAGCCCTCCCCAAAGATAGGTAGTTGTCTGCAATATCCTGGTTTATTGAGGATGTGAAGTTGGACCAGATGCTCTAAAACAGGATTCAGCAAACTATGGCCTACAGACCCAATCTAGAACCCCACCTACTTTTCTAAGTAAAGTTTTCTAAGTAAAGTTTCTTTGGAATACAGCCGTACTTACTCTTTAAGTATTATGTGTATGGCTGCATTCACAGTACAGTGGCAAAGTTGAATAGTTACAAGAGTGACTTCAGATCCACAAAGCCTAAAATATTTGCTATTTGGCTCTTTTAAGAAAAAATTGGACCCATGCTCTGAAGTTTTTCTAACCATGAAGACTGTGTGATTTTATGATTTAAAGAAAAGTGAATTAAAAATGAAGTAGGATCTATACCCATTTACCACCCATAACAATTGGGAGAGTAAATCTGATATTCAGTAACTACTTTCAGTGATTGTCTTTTCTTTTATTTCCTCTAAAGCTGAGAATCAGAGTTCAATCAAAACAGCAGGAACACCAGGTAAGTTAATTATCTTCTCTCTGAGAATATTCATGAGTAAAATCCCCAAAATGAGATAATGAAGATCACTCAGTGTGGGAGCATGGAAAAATAGTACAAAGGAAAAGATTACATAGCAACTAAAATGTTTAGGAGAACTTGCATTTAAAAAAAAAAAAAAAAAAAGTGCAGACCAGACCATAGGATGTGCCTGAATGCTCTGTGGCAAGAGTAAATGGAACCAGCCCTGGCAAATGCATGAAGCCTGTGCAAGTGTCCTCTGCCCAGAACCCACTGTTCTGGTCTGTTTCTGAGGTCAGCCTGCCCTTGCCCAGAAGTACAGTGTGTCTGTGACTGTCTTCTCTGTGTTTCCCAACACAGCCTGATCCTGGCAGCCCGAGAGTTAGTGTTACAAACCACAGTTAACAGCCTAAAATATTATCACTCCAAGAAGAGCTTGTTTTTGTTTTTTTTTTTTATCCTAAGTTTTAAACTGAATAAATTGAGGATGATGATGCAATAGGAATTGGAAAAGATTGCTGGGCAGGGGAAGGTGGAACCATTGTTGAGTCTTTCTGTTGTTTTGAAATCGTAATTACCTAGGAAACTTCTATCTTCCTACATCCTACCTCATAGTTTTATAAGTGACAAATTTCTTAGGTTCTCAATCTTGGTCACTTTTGGTATATATAAAAATGAGAAATATGTGAAATTAACTTAGAAGCTTACATAACTTAAAAAACTATCAAAAAAATAAAGTCATGAAAACTATGAGTCTGTTTTCACAGTAAATGTACAAAATGATCATCACAGTCTACCTTCCCCATCATGTGTTCAAGGAACTCAGAACTGAAGTGCTTAAGCTGTTAACTTTTAATTATCTTCTACACAATATTCCTCATGAGTAAAAGTTATTTTGATATTAATCCTCTTTATTTCACCTCATCACTATATTTTTTTATTCTTATTTCCATTTACATAATCTAGAAATGCACTGGAAAAAGCACTGGGAAAAACAAAGCAAAACAAAACATAAAAACAGTGCATCCAAACAAACAGGGCAAATTTGCATTGGCTGATGGTTTGCACTGCTCTGGAGAAGTCCTTACTTTCTGCTTCATGCACTGGTCATCCAGGAGAAGTTACATATGGAAGAGAATTGAGAAGCTGCCAAAATCATCAACTCCTAAAGAGAGGGATCGAAGCATCCTTTAAGAGAAAAATTTACAAAATGCCAGCTTTAACTATAGTTTATTTTTAACTATAATAAAAAGTCCAACTACACTACTTAAATTTTGAGTTATAGAAACTAGTTCCCCTAACACAGATAATAAATACGTCATTGATTTGAACAGTGGATTAAAAAAAAGTGAGACTGATTTAATAAACTATGAGAAAAGTCAGTCTTAACTTCAGAGATATTTGTTATGGGTAGATTAAATCCAGACTCACTCAAAAAAAAAAAAAAAGTGTAATGAAAGGTATTCGTTACACATCTGTTAACAGCTGTAATCATTTGTTTTTTCAGTTATTTGTTTGTTATCAAAGATTTCAATCATTAAATTTGTGAAAGTCACTCATATGATCAAGAATAGGCATCTTACTTGAAATAATTAACATTTTTAGGTAGAAATTGAGGTAGAATTCTAGTCTTCAGAATTTTTATTGTTGCTTCCTTTTTATAAATATGAGCTAATATGCATTTAGCTTTTGATTAGATCATATGTCATACATTTGGCATTTTCCTTCATATTATGCATCCAGCTTTCATTTTCTTGGAAAAAATGTGTTTTTACCACTGACTTCAAAAATTATTATTTAGAGTATAGAAATTGATGCTTGTTTTTACATAAAAATCTCTTTGGGAATTCAAAATAAGCAAGGCAACTGTACATAAAGCACCAGTTATAAGAAATTGTACATAGATATAACATAGTCATAGTAATAAGGAAATGATTGATCAAGGTCTGAAAACATGGCCATTTATTCCACTCAATAGAGGAAACACAGTATGAGGTGGATCGTTGTGTTTTAACAATGCTGAGAATGGCTTAGTGTCTGAAGTATGTGAGAAAGTCAAACTTCACCTACCAACTATCACATATATGGTAAGACCACAAATTTAGTATGATACTATACTAAATACACAGAACCATATATTTGATCAACCACCACTAACCCAGGCATTTAATAAATAGTTCTTCTGTTTCTTCACATGTAACTCTAGCTAAGAGTTTTGAGTGATACTGGAGCCTGCCATTAAGGGTTACCAAGAATACTAGTCAGCATGGTAAAAAATAAATAAATACTGCAATAACTCTAGTGGCCATACAGGTCTACAATGATGTGTCATAGACAAACTTCAGACTTCTTAACCTCAGGTTAAGATTGGAGAAAGGAGAGATTTTTTCTCTCCCTTTAGCTGTGGTCGTGTTATACAGGAAAGCAGTGTAAGGAAGATGAGGAAAAGGTTCATGAAAGAAGTGACTGGGTATCTTCCAGATTATTCTGCCTACTCATTTTTCTAGCTCCGAGTTAGAGCTAATGAGGAAATGCAAAGAAAAAGTGATGCCGGACTATTTATTCCCAAGAGTTAAATGCAGGAATCATATGGCCATGACGACAATTTTAAGCAATGACGAAATTCACTTTTCTTTAGCCTTATCATTTTGCCACAGACGAGCAGAGATAATAATGTGTCCCTGAAAATGAAATTTGATTTCTTTGATAAGGGATCTTAGATCTGAAGAAAAATGGACCAATACGCCTCCATGGATTGGGAAAGAAATAAATGACTAGCCCTCAATTTTCTGGAAAATACAACTATATTACTCAGGGTTCTCCAGAGAAACTCTATATATCTCTGTATAGAGATTTATTATAAGGAATTGGCTCATGCATTTTGAAAGCTGAGAAGTCCCAAGATCCGTAGCCAGGAAGCCTAGAGACTGGGAGAATGAATTGTATAGTTCCAGTCCAAGGCCTGAGAACCAAGAGAGCCAGTGGTGTATGTTCCAGACTGAAAGCCAGCAGGCTCGAGACCCAGAAAGACCCAATATTTCAGTTTGAGTCCAAATGCAAGGAAAGACCTATGTCCCAGCTCAAGGCAGTGAGACAGAAGATTTCCTTCTTTACTCCTTATTTCTTACTGAGGGGTTATCAGCCTGTTTATTCTATTCAGGTCTTCCACTGATTGGATGAGAGGCATAGACTTTATTCAGTCTACTGATTCACATGTTAATAGCATTCAAAAAATACACTCACAGACATAGCCAGACTAATGCTTGACCAAATATCTGGGAACCCCATGACCAAGTCAAGTTGACACATACAATTAGTCATTGCAACCACATTCCCATAGCGATCAGTACAACTTGAGAATGGTCTCATTGTACCCATCTTCTTTACTTTTTTAACTGTGTTTCACAAACTCAATTGCATTGTAGACATTAATTTTGATGGAAAATTAGAAGCCAGAGCAGACATTACTAGTCCTACCAAATCTGATCACTGGACTTTTGGAAAGGAGAATTCTCCAGCCGGGCATCTTCATTGTGCTCAACACCCTGTGAAATGCTTGAGAATTGGTTGCTGACCTCTAGGAATTCATAATGTGAAGCATCGATCCTTCTATGCAGAAGGTTACTTACCTGAGTATTCTAACTTTGAATAACAGAATCTTGACACAATTATTCAGGTAGAATCCACTCAAGCTAAAAATATACCTATAGTAAAGCAGTATCCAGAGGTTTATTGTGTTTTGTTTTTTTAACTTAGAAATTTTATAAATTTTTAAAGATTAGTTGAGAATAAAAGGACTTACAAATGGAAAATGTCAATATTGAAGTGATAGGGTCTGCCATAAACTTTCACTTAGGAAACGGTATAAATTTGGATATAGCTGAGTGGTTTCTCTTCTGGTTCAGAAATCTGTGGAGTCTCTGAGAAGTGCTTGTGCCTCTCTAGTCTACACGGAAAGTCATAAGAACTCACAGTCTCTACTGATTAGCTACCCAGCATTCACTTTAAAAGCCAATACATTTCAATGTTATTACTAATGGTGTGTGCCTTATAAACTCTACAATGTGCTTTATCTAATATATTAGGAATAATTCTCTCTGTCTTCTTGTATGTATCTGCATGGTCTGGTTTGTCCTGTTGAAGGAATGAGGTGTTTAGTTTGCCTTGATGGAAACAAGTTTGTCTTGATTGGGGTCTAAATTGAAATAGACTATATTTAATGTAACAAAAATAAGAGACATAAACTTGTAACTCATTCCTGCTGAAATGCAAGAGCAAGCAGCATGGATTGATGTTTGACAGCACAGACTGGAGAGCCTGCATTCAAGTCCTGACTGACACCTGCTGGCTGCGTAATATTGGGCAAATCACTTACTCTCCCTGGGCTTCAGTTTCCACTTTGTAAAATGCAAATATTTATAATGTGATAGTTGAATGAGTTAATATTTGAAAATACTTAGAACAGTGCCTGACACATAGGACCCTGAAAGGGTTTGAAAATAAAAATCCTATTTAATATTTTCATGTCCATATTTTGAAATGCTTACTTTCTTATTCTCAGAAAACATAACATTGGCACAGTTATATATTTTAAAGCTTTTCAATGTTTTCAGGTCATGTTATTCAAATTGTGAATTTAAGGTAAAATGATGTTTCTACATTAGGGGAAGGTAAAAACACTCTAAACCTTTAGAATGTTGAGAAAAAATTTCATTGATTTCACTAATAATGATGCTGTTAACAAATAAGTTGAACTTAACTCACTTAAAATCTGTTGGTTACCTGGTATAATGAAAAGGGAAAAGAAAGACTTTCAAGTTCTACTTGGTTTACGTCTTAGTTCCAAGCCACAATATCTCTCATGTTTAAAGCACAAGATTAAAAATATTTCAGAATGAGATGATTAATGCAGTGCCTCATTCATTCTTTGTATACTGTATACAGCTTTCTGGAAATTAATGACTATTCACATTCAAATAACAAAAAAAATACATGCTTCT